TGGTCTGAGTATTTCAGAAACTGCTAATCTACTGGGATTTTCACGCACAACCATCTCTAGGGTTTACAGAGAATGGTCCGAAAAAGAAAAAACATCCAGTGAGAGGCAGTTCTGTGGGCGGAAATGCCTTGTTGATGCCAGAGGTCAGAGGAGAATGGCCAGACTGGTTCGAGCTGATAGAAGGGCAACAGTGACTCAAATAACCACCCGTTACAACCAAGGTGGGCAGAAGAGCATCTCTGAACGCACAGTACGTCGAACTTTGAGGCAGATGGGCTACAGCAGCAGAAGACCACACCGGGTGCCACTCCTTTCAGCTAAGAACAGGAAACTGAGGCTACAATTTGCACAAGCTCATCGAAATTGGACAATAGAAGATTGGAAAAACGTTGCCTGGTCTGATGAGTCTCGATTTCTGCTGCGACATTCGGATGGTAGGGTCAGAATTTGGCGTCTACAACATGAAAGCATGGATCCATCCTGCCTTGTATCAACGGTTCAGGCTGGTGGTGGTGGTGTCATGGTGTGGGGAATATTTTCTTGGCACTCTTTGGGCCCCTTGGTACCAATTGAGCATCGTTGCAACGCCACAGCCTACCTGAGTATTGTTGCTGACCATGTCCATCCCTTTATGACCACAATGTACCCAGCTTCTGATGGCTACTTTCAGCAGGATAATGCGCCATGTCATAAAGCTGGAATCATCTCAGACTGGTTTCTTGAACATGACAATGAGTTCGCTGTACTCAAATGGCCTCCACAGTCACCAGATCTCAATCCAATAGAGCATCTTTGGGATGTGGTGGAACGGGAGATTCGCATCATGGATGTGCAGCCGACAAATCTGCGGCAACTGTGTGATGCCATCATGTCAATATGGACCAAACTCCCTGAGGAATGCTTCCAGCACCTTGTTGAATCTATGCCACGAAGAATTGAGGCAGTTCTGAAGGCAAAAGGGGGTCCAACCCGTTACTAGCATGGGGTACCTAATAAAGTGGCCGGTGAGTGTATATTTGTGTGTGTGTGTGTGTGTGTGTGTCTAGGCCTGTTTATTGTAATTCCAATTATTCATTATTCACAGGTAGAACACAGAGAGGCAGAGGCAGAGGTTTTATTGCAAAAGTTACATTTCCCTTACATCCTGGGAAATTTGATATATTTTACATTTATTTTATGTTTTTAATTTATTTTGGAAAGTTTTATATATGAAGGAAACAACATCTGAATGTATTCTGCTTTTAAATGCACTTGTTTGATAAAAACACCTTTTTCTCAGTTTTTTGTCCAAAATGTTGTGTTTTTGACAAAACCTACCTCTGTTCAAGAGGCAATAAAAAAAGAACAGATGAAGATAAAATAAAAACGTTTTTTTTGCCTAAAAGCAGAGGCTCAGATCTTTATTTTTATATATATCATCTTCATATATTCATGGAAGAAAATATTCAGCGGGGGCATTCAAATTTAGCGAAAATCGTCAAAAACCCTGGCGGTGGCTGGCAACTTTTTTTTAAAACGCTGGCGGGGAAAGAGTTAAGCCAGAACTTTATGTTGGTTTGAGAAAGACTGACCAAAATGTTTGTAGTAGATTTAAAAGCTTCAATAGTCAATAGTCAGAATGTTTAAAGTTTGAAGTAGTTATAAGTTTGAATAAGTTTGCAAAAATAGATAGATCTACTTATTAGAGTTCCAACACAGCAAACACAATGTTGCCCACTTGCCCCATATAGTTAGTTATTTGTCATTTTCCAGTCAGTTTTCACTTTGCAACCACATTTGAAACACAATTCTACACACACATATCCATAACACTCAAGTTAAAGGGTTAGTTCACCCAAAAATGAAAATTAAGTCATTAATTACTCACCCCCATGCTGTACCAACCCCGTAAGACCTTCGTTCGTCTTCGGAACACAAATGAAGATATTTTTGATTAAATTTGAGAGCTGTATAACTACCACATTGGCTCCTAAAGGACTGCCTCTTGACGGCCCAAAAAGTCAATGAAGAAAATGTTTAAATATCCCAAGTGACTACCGTGGCTCAACTATATGTTTATCAAGCGACGCGAATACTTTTTGTGCGAAAAAACAAACAAAAATAACGAGTTTATTCGACTATTCCTTTTCTTCCTTGTAGGCCAGAACGAGAATTCCTTAGATTTCCACGACGCATGCGCGAGATTTGCGATCTGCTTACACCAGCTTAGATCGCAATTCTCGCGCATGCGTCGTGGAAATCTATAAGGAAGTCTCGTTCTGGCCTACAAGGAAGAAAATAAATAGTCGAATAAACTCGTTATTTTTGTTTGTTTTTACGGTAGTCACTTGGGATATTTAAACATTTTCTTCATTGACTTTTTGGGCCGTCAAGAGGCAGTCCCTTAGGAGCCAATGTGGTAGTTATACAGCTCTCAAATTTAATCAAAAATATCTTCATTTGTGTTCCGAAGACGAACGAAGGTCTTACGGGGTTGGTACAGCATGGGGGTGAGTAATTAATGACTTAATTTTCATTTTTGGGTGAACTAACCCTTTAACACTCTCCAGGTGGTACAAAACACAGGCAGCTTGACAGTTCAAAGAAGAACTTCCTATTATCCGGCTGATACACATCCTTATTCTTTCTAAACGCAAGGACAGTGCGCGTGAACCCTTTTCTTGAAGCTAGCTCGGGCTAACCTGAGATTGACAGCTCTCTAATTAAAGATTATTGGCTATGGCTCCCATTCTGAAAAACGAGTGATTTAAGAGAAACGGCCTTTGTGCCTTTCTGTCCCTAAAAAGAACTGAAAACGAGCAAGATCACACAAAAGCTGCCGTCGATAGCGCTCTCGATCATCGACGCGGACGCTGGTGAATGAGCTGTGCTGTTACGCTAATGGCGGCGGTAACCTCTCGCCTGAGGGCACTCCGCTAAACCCCTTTCAAGTGGCTATTTGATCCTCTGGTGCAATTAAAGTTGTTTTGTTCTTTCTGAGGTGAAGGACAAAAGGAAGGATGGTTTGGGGACGTTTGTCTTTGATTGTCAGTGTTAGTTGGGCTAAATGATCAGAGATCCCATGAGCACAGAGAGGAAGACAGTGGATGGTGTCGTGACTCTGGGGATTTGTTACTTTAAAGATTGGTGTTGTTCTGTAAAAGTCGCATTTGAAGGTGGTTTGGATTGCTGCATGTTCCACAATTACAAATCACTGCCTGGGTCCCAGTCTGTTCCTGTTTAACACAAACTTACAAGGAAATTTCACTTTACTGGTGTCGAAGCATGCCCAAGGTCACATCTAACCCTAAAAATGCATTTTATTTTTTTTTAAATATATGTATAAGATATGCTCCTTAGAGAAATTGAAGCTTATTTTTAGGGAAAAAAAGTATTATATTTTAGAATTTTTATTAAATATTGACAATTTAACCACATTTCCCCCGTTCACATGTCAATGAATCCATAAATTATTATTTTTTTATATTTATTATTATAATTTTTTTATTTATAACTATAATTTCAAAATCATACAGTATATATATATACTACAATAAGTCAAGTAAAATATTGTAATTTAATATTACAATAAAATTAAATATAATTATAAATATAATTCTTATATGTTGTAAAATATGCTTAATTTTCCTAATGCTTTCTTTTCATTTTTATTTTGGGGTGAAATATGATCCAGCTTTAAATGTATATTTTTATTATTTCAACAAAACAATCACAACAAAACAGCAGTGTTCATAAGTTCTGATGGGAGAGTTGAAAAAGTAATAAAACTGAGTAAACATTAACATATAAAAATAAAACCGGGGCGTGTTCTTGACACGTTGCCCCTTTTTCATAACACTGGTAATATTTTCACCTCATTTAAAACTCTTGTTTTTTCTTTAAAGCTTATTTTCACGTCAGTAGTTGGAAATTCAAAGTAGTCCATTAAAGGGTTAGTTCACCCAAAAATGAAAATTAAGTCATTAATTACTCACCCCCATGCTGTACCAACCCCGTAAGACCTTCGTTCGTCTTCGGAACACAAATGAAGATATTTTTGATTAAATTTGAGAGCTGTATCAGTCCTACATAGACTGCCTAAGGGACTGCCTCTTGACGGCCCAAAAAGTCAATGAAGAAAATGTTTAAATATCCCAAGTGACTACCGTGGCTCAACTATATGTTTATCAAGCGACGCGAATACTTTTTGTGCGAAAAAACAAACAAAAATAACGAGTTTATTCGACTATTTCTTTTCTTCCTTGTAGGCCAGAACGAGACTTCCTTATAGATTTCCACGACGCATGCGCGAGAATTGCGATCTGAAGTAGTGTAAGCTGGTGTAAGCAGATGGCAATTCTCGCGCATGCGTCGTGGAAATCTAAGGAAGTCTCGTTCTGGCCTACAAGGAAGAAAAGAAATAGTCGAATAAACTCGTTATTTTTGTTTGTTTTTTCGCACAAAAAGTATTCGCGTCGCTTGATAAACATATAGTTGAGCCACGGTAGTCACTTGGGATATTTAAACATTTTCTTCATTGACTTTCTGGGCTGTCAAGAGGCAGTCCCTTAGGAGCCAATGTGGTAGTTATACAGCTCTCAAATTTAATCAAAAATATCTTCATTTGTGTTCCGAAGACGAACGAAGGTCTTACGGGGTTGGTACAGCATGGGGGTGAGTAATTAATGACTTAATTTTCATTTTTGGGTGAACTAACCCTTTAAGATGACTGTAAATCATTGTTGTTTTAAATGTGACTTTTGATGTGCGTTATCACGTCTTCTTTCTGCACACGTTTCATTGTACGTTTACGTAGACAATCATCACACAAACTTATTTAATTCACCAAAATACATTTGTGCAAGCTCTCAAACCGTGACGCAGAAAGAAACTTATCTTTCAAATGTTGTTCAGTGTTTTATGAGCATGTTTCACAACAGAATGCTCGAATTTCTAACAAGAGCTAAAGGACTGTTTCACTAATAAACCCCCTGACCTCTGCTCTTTGTCTCCCTCTTCAGGCCCGGAGGAATGGGCAAACAACCGCAACAAGGCGCCACCAGCAAGGACAAGCAAAGGAGCGTACAGAGAGAAGCCGTATTCCCGGTTCTGACCAGCTACAGTCCTTCGTGTGCCCTCCCAAGTAATGGATTTTCTATGGACTCTATTTCCGTTTTTTTGCAAATAAAATCAACCAAAACGACAAAAATAGAAAATTGAAGAAGTTGATGGGTAAAACTGACATGGAAGAGACCCCCACAAACGGAATATTACGGGATCACCGGATTATGTAGTTTAAATCAGAGAACCAATCAGAATTCAAATAGACTCACTTATGTCGGAGGGAGGCGGGCACTAGCAGTTGGGGGCGGAGTTATATGAGGTGTACGATGTTTAGAATTAGCAGGTCAGTTTTTTGTAGATACTTTTTTTTCTTTTTTTTTTATTGATGGGTAATCAGCTTCAATGTGTCCCTTGTAAATCTGACCTTTCATGAAAATTAAGTAGGAAAAAAGTCAAAGAAAATCTCAGTGCACCTGTTGTTTTTCTTCCTTTCTCTTTTCTAAATGGAAGGTTCTTCAGCGTTAAAGGGCTTATAGGAGCATGTCGTAAGAAAAAAACAAAAAAAACTGTGTGCAGTTTCATTTGCGATGAGAAAAGCCTGCATAGTTTGTCTGGTTTTTGTGTTGAGCGTTAAAACCCTTTAATGAGCTCTGTGGTAATAGGTGTTTTCTCCTAGCGAGCGATCTACTTTTAGACCTTCTCAGGAGCGTCTAAATCAACATTTCTTGACTATTACACGGTAACATGAATGTGGCTAAAACCCCCAATTCAATTTCCCAATTTGAGTTGATATATGATAGATTCCTTCAAGAAATACATCAAGGTAATGACGTTTCGGCACACTTTCCTGTGCAATTCTAATCCATTATAGCACATATAATCCTTTATACACTAAAGTTGGTTTGTCCATTAGTATGTCGTATAGCGTGGATGGGTTAAGAGCATTTAAAAACAAACGAAACGAGCATCGCTTGCGATAGTCTAAGAAATTTCAAGGGAATCCAGCAGTTTTTGGCACATTGTGTATCCTTTAAAGCTTGTTGTAATGCATTTTAAGTGCACAGCAAAGTGTTACTGGTCATTTCTAAACCAAATACTGTTGACTAAAGTTTAACTAGTACTCTTTTATAAAACTATTAAAAGTCTTATCAAATGTATGCTGAAGTTTAAAAGGTGATAGTAATGAAAATTATTGTGGTACTGGTGGTGGCAGTTTAATACATTTCTGTTAAGAGCTATAATATTTGTAAGCTTGTGTAAGCCCTTTAATTCTCGTCTCAGTTGATTATAAAATAAACTTTTTGAAAGCAAAATTATCATTGTGTTTGAGAGCACATTTTGTCCTTGTTGACTTGGTTAAAACTGCATAATCTAAACTAATATCTGATGTGTGTTATCATTAAAACAAGTGTAACGTACGTTGGGGGAAAATCCTTTAAGCCCACATAAATGTGAAAATAAACCAAAAAGTCCTCCCTTAACTTTGTTGCAACCCCCCCCCCCCCCCCCATAAAAAAAACCCCGAATCTGATGCATGTAACTATTTTGACAAGAATTCCCTTTGTAGAATTAAATTCAATTGCATCCAGCACAATTAAATTCATCTGTAATATACCATACCCAGCAGCTTGAAATAAATTTCCAATTATAAACCTACCTTATTATCTGTTATAATTCTTTCTACTTGAAAACACACGAGTCTCTTCTGTGGTAAAGCATTTGAAGTTAATTATCTACTAATATATCTTTAATCACACTCCTTTTACATAATTTATTACAAGACTATATAGATACGGTACTATTGCATCAGTAAGATGTTGCGCATGGAAAGAAATTCCACATTTATTGTCTTTCATATTCTAAGATTCAATAATGTAAGCAGTGGCTTTTTGAAACTTGGTTCTTTTTTGGGGATTTCTGCTTGCTGTTTTTGCTCTTTCTTCCCCCTTCCGGTCACATGACCGTCTCTATAGTCCACTAAACAGCCCGCCCCCACATGACCTCTAAATGACCCCAGCTGACCTCAGAGCTGATGAGGATGGCGGTAGCTGTATTTACAGGCCTTCGTTCCACAAGGTAAACAACCCGTCACAATCTAATCTCATCTAAACTAGCCCTTAAACTGGATAAAACAAAAACAAACCTGTTCATTTAAAGTTTTTCTTGGCTTACGTTTTTGCTGAGGAACTTAAATTAGAAGTAAAATTGTAAAAAGATTAATAAATAGCTGTAATATTGCTTTAACCAATCATTATTATCACCAATTATGTTTAAGAAGGAGCTAAACTTATATATTTGTATGTGTGCTATAGCTTTAAATAAATGAATGTTTAATATTATCATACTACTGTAAACCATTGCACATTTATGGTAACCTTCAGTTTGTTTGTGTCTTTTTGTTGGTTTTTATCAGTACAGCTTCAGGTTTTTATGTCTCTCTTTTCTTTTTCAGGTCACGATAGCCGAGCCTGAAGCCGTGAAACGCCACCGATGCTCTTCTCAGATTGTTTGGGGTGAGCTTGATATTTTGAAAAACTTATTTTTGAACTGTTAATTGTGTGTGCGTGTGTGTTTGTGTGTGATATATATATATACTGTATATACTATTCAAACTATTAAAAATAGTTTATTTGTTTAATTATTCAATTGAATGATTGATTGATTGATGATTGATTGACATGTGAAATTAGTGCAGTTCTGAAAGCGAAAGGGGGTCAACACACAGTATTAGTATGGTGTTCCTAATAATCCTTTAGGTGAGTGTGTGTGTGTGTATTATTCAGTTTGAATAGAGTATGTTTGTGTTTATGCATTATTTAAACTGTTGAAAATAAGATTTGTTTATTTATTTATTCATTGATCAATTAATTGACTGAACTTTATCCACAAATTTTCCTTTGGCTTCTCATAAAAAAACAATTAAAACACAAACAATAATCATAATCATACAACATTTTAAAAACAACCACCCAAGACTCTAACAATTGATTACTTTCATTAAATAGTCTAATTGCTGCTGGTATAAAATAGTTTTACACTTTCTCAATTAAAAAAGTTAACAAAAAAATGCAATGCAAAAACAAAAAAAGACAGAAATGCATTTCAGTTCAGTCCCTTGTGAGGCAGCATTTCAGTTACTGGTTGAAAACAGATCTATGTAAACACCCTTACAACAAATAATGACACTCTTTTGGAGGACTATCTTGAGTAAACTGCCTTTCAGGGAACACAAGCACTTATTGCTTCCCTTAAAATACTCTCTAGGTGGTCTCTAGCGTTATTGTACACACAAATGATGGGTTTAATGTGTAAACTAACCGAAGTCGTCTGACAGTGATGATGAAAGCAAGAGTTCTATTAAGTGCGTCTGCTGTTAAATCCCCGCCTCGAGAGAGCAGACATGCTTTCCTCCGGCAACTGTCAAACAAGAGCTTCCCTGGCATGAGAGGATAAAGAGCTGAGCCGTCGGGAGAGCAGAGACGGGTAGAGATCTCATAGAGTAATCCTATCAGTGCGACTGCTCTCCGTGTCTGATGACTGCACTGAGTGCCACCCTCTGCCTCGACTCCCTGCCTCTCGTGATTTAGTGATGGTTTCGTCCGCAGGTTTCACTGGCCAAGGACCGCCCCAGAGGACGTCTGAGCGTCATGTTTAAGGGTTGTGAAAATGTAAAGTCCATATCCCTACGATAACAGAACGGCGTGCATCCACTAAGTGAATCATTCAAGGCTTTCGTTTTTTCCATGAGGGGGTTTGGCTCCACGACTGCTTTGTTTCCTGACGGACCTTTAATGAACGCGACACACACGGCTTTCAGATGACGACTTTGAAATTCCCAACACATTCTCATCCTTTGGCGTCATATAGGTGACGCCATATGACATTTCGTCGAAATATTACGCACATGGCACCCTTTAGCGTCAATATAATACGTATGTTTAGGTCTGCGTCTCATATTGACGCTTAAGGATGCCAGTCACCTACAGTATATGACGCCTTGGGTTCTGCGTTTTATATTGACGCTAAAGGGTGCCACGTGCGTAGTATGTTGACGAAATGTCATATGGCGTCACCTATATGACGCCAAGGATAAGAACGGGCTCAAACTCCAGAAGTCTGTATATTTCCCATTTTTGTGTGCCTTAGGGCCTGTTTACATATCACGTCTTTTGCGCGCACAAGTTCGTTATTTCAAATGTAGGCGCGCGGTATGCGCGTTCATAATGGAAGCGGGGGTTGCGGTGCGACGCGCTCGTTTTTTCCAAGCGCGCCTGCGCCGCATCAAGATAAAAACATCTCTACTTTTCAGAATGCCGCAAGCCCACCTTAAGCGCACAGTAGGTCAGGTGACAAGAACCAACCGGAGCGCAACCGCCCTAGCATTTTGGAAAAAGGGAGAATGTGGTGCGCCCAGCGTTTTCTATGCGGTTTTAGGCGCTATATGTGAATTATACTTTAAAACCCAATGCATTTCTCCATAAATAAATGTTTGTAATTCATTTGAAATATTTAAATACGTTTTTTTTTTTGTGTGTGTGTGTGTCGGAGAACGGTTGAGTTTGCCGAAAAACAGAAGATAATTTGCTCTGGAATTTTTACTCAGGTTTTGTTAGAAAAACAGAGAGTTGGCAGATTTGGATGAAAAACTAGTCCCATCCGAATAGGGCTAAAAAGTGTGTTTCCCATTTGTTTAATTCAACTTTTTCTTGTTTTTCTCTTGTTTTAGGGAGGTTTGGCCACATCATCTGATCGTGAAAACTAAAACTGCACAGGCGCTACCGTAGAGAGCTTGTACTCGGCAAGAAAAGCACAATGAGCACACTTAAAAAGTCCCTCGCGGCCCACAGAAGAAGCATGACACTCCTCAGGGAAGACTTCGTTTCCACTGGAACTTGCCCGAAAAAGGCTTCTGAACGTCTACGAGGTCACAAAGCGCCACACTAAGAGCGTTAATGTGCCAATAACCGGCAGACGAGCGGTCCAGCCTCCTCTCGCTCAGGAAATGGTGCTCTCTGGTCCTCGGGGGAGGCCGTGCTGGGGAAATGGTGCTCTCACAGCTGTACGCTCCACATGCACTGAGGGTGAACCCACTTCTGTCTACAGACAGTCTTAGGGGTTATTGGGCCATGTGTCTTGTGCTAACACATTAATACGGGAATTTACTCTTCTGACAGGAGCCAGAGAGAGAGAGAGAGAGAGAGAGTGAATATGTAAGCTAGATTTATCACACAAAAATGGGAAATGAGATATAATGCAATTTCTGTGTTAAGTTCATTATGAGGATGTCAAATGAATTCATCCTAATAAAGGGACCTTAATCTCAGCTTCTGTCTTCCCATTAGCTTGTGTAATATTTTCAGTCAGGCCAGTATTATGATTTTTACTGTCCCCACCAAATTATCTATCTATCTATCTATCTATCTATCTATCTATCTATCTATCCATCCATCCATCCATCCATCCATCCATCCATCCATCCATCCATCCATCCATCCATCCATCCATCCATCCATCCATCCATCCATCCATCCATCCATCCATCCATCCATCCATCCATCCATCTATCCATCCAAACCTACCAATCCATCCATCCATCCATCCAAACCTATCCATCCATCCATCCATCCATCCAAACCTACCAATCCATCCATCCATCCAAACCTACCAATCCATCCATCCATCCATCCATCCAAACCTACCAATCCATCCATCCAAACCTATCCATCCATCCATCCATCCAAACCTACCAATCCATCCATCCATCCAAACCTATCCATCCAAACCTACCAATCCATCCATCCATCCATCCAAACCTACCAATCCATCCATCCAAACCTATCCATCCATCCATCCATCCAAACCTACCAATCCATCCATCCATCCAAACCTATCCATCCAAACCTACCAATCCATCCATCCATCCATCCATCCATCCAAACCTACCAATCCATCCATCCATCCATCCAAACCCATCCATCCATCCAAACCTATCCATCCATCCAAACCTACCAATCCATCCATCCATCCATCCATCCAAACCTATCCATCCATCCATCCATCCAAACCTACCAATCCATTCATTCATCTATCTATAAATGTAGTGTCACTTTCTTGCCACAGTTGCTTCAAGTATGAATTGTTATACAGTCATGCTTTCTAGGGTTGTAGGTGACAAGTCGAATTTGTCTTGTTTCATTTGACTGTCCCAATTATTATGTGTGTCCAAATTGTGTTTGATAATATCTTGGGGTGCTTCTCATTTGTTATTTGTGCATCCTCGCGCCTTACCTCCACTCTCTTATGCCGGTCCTGCCACAGACTGAGGTTTCTGCAATCCCATAAGATCATTACAAATCACACTGGGGTGCCTTTCTCGTAATACGATGTAACTCGCCGCTTCACTACCATAGTACTGCATCGTTGGAGAAATCAACTAGCTAGTCACGACTGTTTCCCAAAACCCATTGTCGCAAAGTATCGTTCTACCACGTTGGTTTCGCACGTGGTGGAGTAATAACTACTTTTAATCAAACTGTTTGAGATCCAATTAACGCTAGATTTTTATATATATAAATTACAGACATGTCATCTGAGGTCTATTTCTAATTGTTCTCAGTTATTTTGCTTTATTACCAGACTCAATATTTGGCTCGTTCTTACATAGTAGAGCACGTTCGCACATGCGCACTCTTCAAAATCGGTACTTTCGGTACAATCGGTACAAAATCGGTATGGTAAATCTTTTGAAAAAGACTTTGTATGTATTCTAAATAAAAGGCACCGGTTATTCTGAATTTCAGCTTGCTTATTTTGCTCAAGATAAGGATTTATTACCTCCAAATGTGTTGCAATATAGAAACTATGCCTCTAACCACAGGTCGAGAGCTGTCGTTCAAACCTGTCGTTGCGAATGTTCGTTGGAACTATTGTTTTCGGGAAACACCGACTATCCTGATAACAACGGAAATTGCGACCATACTGTAGTTGGCTAACAATCTTTCGGGAAACGCACCCCAGTACGACTTGGATGTAATAAACTTGGGTTCGACATATATGTAGACTGTACAATGTCACCGATGTCACCTACGACGCAAGTTAGTTGAAGAATAAATGTCATCAGCATGCGCTAGTGGTAAACAAATGCAAGATGAATCACACTTTGCCAATCATGGTTTTGATGTGCGCTGAAAAAAGAGAAGGAATCGAAAGAGAAGAATATGGATGCAGTCGTGGCTAGGGAAAAGAGGCATGCAAAGGAAAACAATTTTGCCTTTTTGAGTTTTAGCACCATGTCGCGTTGATCAATACGCCATTTCATGTTGCATTTTTATTGACAAGTCAGTAGACGTAGGTCGTAGAATTAAACACACTTGAGGTGATCCTGCTAAATGTCACTTTCAGAAAATTATCACAGGCTATTTTTGGCCACAACAGCCATCTTTGAACCTCTCTCACTGTATGACGTTGGACAC